TCGGATTTGGGTTTTGGGGCGTGACAGATTAAGTGGTATCAGAGCTTAGATTTAATTAAGATTTCATGATGTTAGAGCCTAGGTTTAAATTAAATACCTAGGATTTGTTTAGAACTTAGCTGGCCAATGAATTTTAGAACCGTGGTGAGATGAGTGATGGGGTTATATAAGGGATGATTCTGATTTGTGTCGCCTGAATTTTCTAATTCACTTTGATGAGATAGTAATTCAGTTAGTTCTTGTTATCTGCTGTTGGTGAGAATTTTTTTGAAATTAATCTTGCTCACTATGCTCTTAGGACCATGTTTGAAACTTGGTCCCTTGGGATAGTATGCTTGGTTTTGGTTGTGGCAGGATGAATAAGGCCTTCCACATTAGGTCTGTTTGTTTAAGTATTCATCTGGGCATTCATATATGAATGCAAACATAGACAGACATGAGCATATACACGCATTCATGCATGCACACATGGGCATTTATACATGCATGCACACATGGGCATTTATACATGCATGCACAGAGGCATTCATTCATACATGCATATACATGCATTCATCCATTCATGATTCTATATATCCGAGTGATATTTATCCGTCTCGGATAGGGTTCCATCTCTTAGTTGTACTCATCATTAGATTCATTGCCATGTTGTGCTTGATGAGTGCCAGGTCTTGATTTGAGTCAAGGGTACCACATAATCACGACAATAACCTTCGAGTTTAGTTACTTGTGTTGAGGCATGAAGTTATCTCCTGCTTCCCAAATGGCCATTGGGGAGGGTGGAGATTGAGATGTTAGGGTAGTGATGAGTACCTATTCCCTGTAAAGTGAATCTGACTATTGTAACTTTGTAATTGTTAGCCATGTATCTTGAGATTGATTTCCTTGTGATAGTTGTGGTTGATATCAGGGTGGCGCAGCGGAAGCGTAGTTAGGCCATGTTCTGTTCATGGATGGTTGGTAGAATCTTTGTTTTGTCTTGGATTGTGTGAAGCTATTCACCAATCGAAATGATCCTCAATTTGAGTTTTGGAGACAAAACTCCTTTTTAGGATGGGTGAATGTAATATCCTAAATTTTTGGGAATTTTATAAATTAAGTTAGGGGACTTATTTTGGGAGAAATATTGTTTTGGGGCCTAATAGCTAAAAACTCAAAAGTTGAGGGACTTAAAAGAAAGGAAATGAAATAAGGATCAGCTGCTTTTTCTTTCTTTCTTTTCTTCCTCATCAAGTCGTGACTTGCTCTTCTTCTTCTTCTCTCGACAGCCCCCTAAGCGCCTCTAGCCACCGACTCATTTCTTTGAGAAAATTTGTGGCAAAGCTTGAATTTTCTCCTTCTTTCTTGTTCAATCACAAGATTTGGGGCTTCGAATTCTCTCTCTTAACCCAGAAATTCCAAATTTGTTCTTCTCTTTCTCCCTCTGTCCGCTGGCCTCTGCTGTGTGAGGTTGAGTTCGGTTTTTGGTAAGAAATAGCCTAGAGTTCGTCCTTCTAGCCTTGATTCAAGTTGGGTTATTCTAATTTCTTTTTATTTCCCTCAATTTTGAGATAGCCCGTGAGTCCCCTGCAGAATTGCCGCCGACTTCTTCCCTCCACCAGGTCCGGTTTTGCAGCTGGCTGGAAATTCTGGTATGTTGACAGCCCCATTAAATCCAAAATTACCCATTTAATTGCTGGGTTTTGTCCATGTAGTTGATGCTCTGTGTTGTCCGAAATCTACTGAAAAATGGGGATGAACTCCGGTAGCAATTAGAGCATAATTAAGCTTAATTAAGGTAGAATTAGCTTGATTAATTGCTGTGATGTTTATATGAAAATCTCGTGTGTGTGAGTTGTGGTTTGCCAAAGCCATGCTCTCCATGTGTTGCCCATGAGAAATGGGGAAATTTTGGTAGCTTAAGCTATGTTTTTAAGCTTGGTTTAAGTGTAAATTAGCTTG